CGTGTGTGCAAGGATGAGTGTGTCTGCACGCGGGGGGGGGGCAGGCGCGTGCACGCCGCGGCACGTGTGTGAGTGTGAGCACACAAGCGTGTGAGCCGGGACAGCGTGTGCGTGCGTACATGTGTCTGTGTGCAGCTTGCGTGGGTGGCAGGTGAACCGGTGTGTGCACACGCGTGGCGCACATATGTGCTCGCATGTCGGGAGGCTCTGTGTGTGCGCGTGTGTTCCCCTCCCCCTCCACCCCCCCAGCCCTGTGTGGGTGAGCGCACATGCGTGTGGTGCGGTGCCTGCCGGCTGTGTGCTGCTGCCGGGTGTGCCAGGCCCACTCACCCCTGGCCGCTCCGCTCCGCTCCTTACCTAGCTGAAGTGGCAGCTGCTTGGTGTGAGTGCGTGTGCAGGTGTGTGAGACAGTTGGGTGTATGTGTGTGTGTGTGTGTGTGTGTGTGCGCGCGCGTGCAGCCGTGCCTCTTGGAGGGGGGGGGGGGCTGTCATGCGGTGGCGTGAGTGTGCATGCATGCGGTCGTGTGTCAGTGCATGTGCTTAGGGTGCGTCTTGGTGCACAGGGTAGTGTAACCGTGTGTGCGTGTGTGTAGGTGTGCGTGCGTGGGTGCCTGTGGTGGTGCGAGTGCATCTGCCTGGGTCTCTGGATGGGGGGTGGCATGCAGGGTTGCCTGTGTGTGCGCTCATGCCTCCATGTGTGTAGCAGGGCATGTAGGGGTGCGTGAATGCCTGTGTGTGCCTGCCTGCAAGGTGGGGTGTATGCGTGCGTGTGTGTGCCCATGTGCAGCATGCACAGGATTGCATGTGTGGTGGTGGGGGGACATACGTGTGGTTGTGTAAGCGTCCGTGTCTGGGTCTGAGGCAGTGTGTCAGTACGGCTATAGCTGTGCAGGGTGTGTCGCGGGATCGGGGGGAGGCTGCATACAGTTGTGTGTGTGCGTGTGCATGTGTGAATAGAGCCATGTGAGCGTGTACCCATGCCTGCCCAGGCGGGGACCGGCGTCCAAGGCGTGTGACCCAGGCGATGTGGGGCGGGGTGGGTGCAACCCACGTGCCCCCAGGCGGCGGGGGGCTGCCGCCCGCGGGATGGGGGGCCCGCGGCGCCCGGGACTCAGGGTTCCTGTCCGTGCCAGGCAGCCGGATGAGCATGGAGGAGGGTGCCAGGACTGCCATTGCTGGTAGGCACACACGCGGGCAGCGGGGGGGCAGGGGTGGGAGTGGGAGTGGGGAGCTGGGCCAGCCCGTGCCCTGGGGACCCCCGCCTGGAGCAGGGGACGCCTCATCCTAGCAGCCTCGAGCGCCGTTGGGGGATGCACGGAGGTGCAGGAAGGGGTGCGGGCAGCCCCTGGGCTGGGTCTGTGGCCCTGTGACCCTGCGTGCCGCTGGGGGATGAGGGTGGGGGTCTGGGCCTGCGTTGTCATTCCAAGTGCCGGGAGTGAGGTATTTGCCCTGCGGATGCTGCTGCTCTCCTTAGGCTTCAGAGTTAATGCCCTGGGCTAAGGGCTGGCTCTGGTTTTGTAGGGGCAGGGGCCTGGCCAGGTGGTGCTCCCTGCGCAGCCCCTGGGGCTCAGGGAGAAGTTTGGTGGGGGGTGTTGCTACCATATCCGGCCCCTTCCCACCTACCTCTCCTGCCCCCCAGCAGGCTGGGGTTTCGCCACCCAGTGCCCTACTGGATGGGTGGGGATTGGGGTGTGATGTGGCCCAGGCTCTGTAGGCCCTGTGGGACTGGGTGCTGAGGGTCAGAATGAAGGGGACCAGGGCAGGTGCACAGACCACCCCAGGTGCTGTGGTTTCCCTTGGCCACCGGTGCACTGCAGGGCTGACAGCCGCGGGGCAGGGGGTGGGCCTTGGGCTACTGAGATAGTGGGGAGGAAGGCCCTCCTGGCTTTCTGGAGAGGCTGAGCCCTTCCCTCTCCTACAGCCAGTCCCATGCTGGGGTGTGAGTGGCCTGGGGTGGGGCTGGGCCAGGAGTGACACTCTGCAGGGGTAGGGGTGCACATGGAGCAGGACTTGGCCCCCCGGCAGACATGGGGGAAAGGGAGCGGGGTGCCTGGTGATGGATGGATGGATGAAAGTATATGGGGAAGGAGGGATGGGTCCTGATGAGGGGTGGGTGGAGGGTGTTCATGGCTATGGATGGAGGGCAGATGAGGTGAGGGGTGGAGCGGGATGGCATTTGGGGTGCATGGACAGGCAGTGTTTGTGGGGAGGCTGGGGAAAAGGGGTCTGGTGCTGGGCATGGGGCATGGATGAGAGGCCTGGCAGTGAGCGTGGGCAGCAGCTGGGTGAGGGGACTCTGGCAAGGACCAGGGGCTGTCTCTGCCCATGGGCGCTGTGGCGGGGAGGCAGGTGCTCCTCAGCGCCAGCACAGGGGGAGCTGAAGGGTTAACTGCTGTAGTGTGGTGATGGGGGGGAGGGCATCTTCCTGGGTCTAATTGTTTCATCCCGTTTTTATTCTGCTCACATGCTGCAACCCCCTTCCCCCCCTCCGGACACGCTTGGTTGGCCTCGGCCTGCCCAGAGCGCCATCCCAGCCAGCGCAGGGGAAGGCAGGGGGAGGGGCTCGTGACAGACCTCTCCCAGGGACTCCCGCAAGGTCAGGGGCACGGGCACCCGTGTGTGCCAGGTGCACTGAGTGAATGCCAGCCTGGCTGTCCCTGGCTGGGACAAGCAACCCTGTGCCTGACCCAGTACCCCTCCCCCGCTCCCCCCTTGACTGCAGCCTCCACCCAACCCCACCACTCAGCTCACAAACATGCACGCACACATGTGCATACCCCTACCCTGGCCCCCTCAGTCTATCTTCGGGGCAGATACAAGGGTCCTTGGTGGCTGCCGTGGCCCTTCTGGGCTGGGGCTGGGGTGGAGCAGGAGGGTGTTGGGGGTGATGCCCTGCCTTCTGCTAGGATCCGTCATGTCTCCACACACGGGCAGTGGGACGTGGCAGTCCTTGCCCCGCTTCCCCCTGCCTGCCCAGTAACTTGGGCCCCCAACTGCTGAGCAGCGCTGGGCAGGGGGAGCCAGGGACTCAGCCAGCGCCCCCACCCAGGGGTCCCCAGGTCAGGCAAAGATGAGGGGCCTCAGGTATGCCCCCCCCAGGGCAGGGGGTTGTTGGCAGCTTGGACACCTGGGTTCTGCCATTGGCTGCGTTGCATGACCTTGGCTGCTTCTGTCCTAGGTACTTCAGCATTTTGCGGGGGTACCTCAGCCCTCTCCATCCCACTAGTCCCCTGCAGCCAAGCAGAGTCCTTCACAGGAGACTGGGGCAGCTGAGGCCCTGTGACTTGCCTGGAGCCAGGAATCACCCCTGGGCCTTGCCGTCCTCCTGCGACCTCCCTCACTCCTCAATCCTGCCTCCCTCCGGCTGTGTCTGCACAGCATCAAGGCTGCTGGCTCTCAGCTCCTGCCCCCCCCATGCACCCCACCCCAGAGGCAGCTGCATTCCCGCCCGAAGGAAGGGGCTGCTGCGTGCTGGGGGCTGCGGGAGCGCTTCGCCCACCACCCCCTCCAGCCAGTGCTGCTGCTGCTCCCCGCTAATGAGATATCATTAGAGGGGAAGTGGGGGGGTGTTTCCCATTCATGGTTCTCCTGGAGACCTGCCTGGGGGAGGGGGGCTGATGGGGTGGGGGAGGGGGGCTCTTTTTAACTAGAGCTTGTCACAGCTACAGCAGTAGCGGGGCGGGGGGGGGGGGACCCGGAGTCCCCCCCCAGGAGTGGGGGAGGCTGCATTGAAGCAGCTCAGCGGGTGCGTTCCCAGCCCCCTGGCAGCCAGCGTGGGGCCCATTGCCAGCAGCACATGGGGCGCCACCTCTGCCCAGCTCATGCAGCTGCCTGGGGAGCAACAAGGCTCGGCTGCAGAGAGTACCTGGGCCCTGGCTTGTGGAGAAGGGACCCCTGCCCTGCTCCTCGTAGCCTGGCAACCCCAGGTGCATTGGAGCCAGCCCTGCCTGCCAGGGAGAGCAGCACCCCCTGCTGGACCCCGCTGTATCCCTTTTCAGGTACTGCAAGGCCAGACAGTCCCCCGAGCACCTGGGTGCTGGCAAGTGGGGGTGTCTGCTCCAGGCAGTGTCTGTTGGGGAAGTCTTCCCCATGTTGCTACCCCACCCTCTGCCCAGTGCTTCCCCAGGCTGGGTGCTCCTGCCACTTCCTTCACTCCCATTTCCTGGTACATGAGGCTGGGACAGGTTGCAGCGGGGGCAGGGCGTGCGGGTGCTTGCATGCGTGCGGGGCTGGGGCTCCTTGTTCAGGGTGGGGGTGTGGCCCCAGATCCTCCCCCCTTCCTCTGCTCACCCGGCACACAGGTAGGTGAGGCCCTAGGGCCCACCAGCCTCTTGCAGAGCAGCAGCAGGGCTGGGAGCCCCCAGTGCTGCCAGGGGGGCCACCTCCGGGCCGGCCCTCGGTGGCTGGTGATGCAGGGCACCAGGGCCTGCGAGCTCTGCGCCCTGTGGTGGCTGTCATGGGCCTGCGGAGTGGGTGCTGAGGTCCCTGCTGGGCCTATGCGTCTCCCTGGGGGAGCGGGCTCCAGCCTGGTTGTGGCACTGTGGGTGTCGCGTGTGTGGCAGTGGACATGGGCCTGGCTCCTGTGTGCATGTGCACACGGGTGATGTAGAGGGAGGGGTAGAGGGAGGGCAAGAAGGAGGCAGTGAGTCAATGCGGGAGGGAGTGAAGGGGGGTCAGAGCCTGCCTCCTCCCCCACCTCTTCCCCTCCTGGCAGAGCAGACAATTAGGAGGGGCGGAGCCAACGTGATGTCACTGGCTGCAGGGTAGTCTTGGGAGGGGCTGTGAGGGAGGGGCAGTGGGAGGGGAGGCAGGGTGAGGTACCAGCAGTCCCTGGCAGCGGGAGGGGTAGGGCCAATGGCCCCCGGGGGCGGGGTCAACAGGCCACCTGGGGGTGCGGGGCATAGACCCCCAGGGCCACATGGCAAGGTGAAGGTCACCCCTTTGCCCCCATGGCAAGGTGAAGCCCTGGGCTGAGAGGGGGCAGGATTGTGGCCCCATGGAAGGGGACATGGCAACGTTGGCACAGGAACCATTTTGAGTAGACGGGTGGCATCTCTGCTTCCAGGGCCCTCGGAGGACGTGCTGCCTTAGCCTTCCCATGCTCTCCCTCCCTCAGCGCACCGCGGCAGCCTCTCACCCTGCCTTGGAGCTGGGCTGTGGCTGGCTCCCCCTCCCCTCAAGGGGAAGCACCTCTGACCCCATGCCCTGCACCACGGCCTATGATCCCAGCACATTTGGGGTGCGCTTGGGGTCCAGGCTGTGACCCCAGGGGCTGGGGTGTTGGGTCAAGCATGTGCTTTCCCCCCTGCACTGCTAATAGTAACCAGCCCCTCCTTCCCTTTCCCCAATTCCTCTCTTTTTCAGATTATCACGTGAGCCGCTCCAGGAGGAAGAGTGTCCCTGGAGGAAAGCAATACAGCATCAACATGGATGCGCCCCCTGCTCCCCCCTTCAGGCCCTCGGTGAGAGACCCCTCTCGCCCCGTGCACTCCCCTTGCTTCCCTTCAGCTCCCCTGTCCACTCCTGCATGTGCCTCCAGCCCCCTCCATGGGCTACTGCTGCAGACTCCCTGCCCCACTGCATCCTGCTGCAGAGGGGCCTGGGAACTTCCAGACCCCCTGGACATCTGCGGGGCATCTGGGAGGAGGGGGTGAGAGCAGAGAGAATAAAGGAGCCTCATCAGCCCCAGCCCCACCTCACTCCAAGAGTTGGGGTGCAAACCCAGGTGTCCTGATCCCCAGCTGTCTCCCACTTATCCTACCAGATCTTGCTCCTTTCTCTGAGTTGGGAATGCATCCAGCAACCTATTTCCACCTGCCACCCAGCTCTATCCTAGTAGTCCTCACTTCCCTCCCAACACTGGGGATGGAACCCAGATGTCTGGGCTCCCAACTCCATGCACTGAACTCCACTTCCCTGGCACCACTGGTTGTCTGGGCTCCAGTGATGCACCCCCACTCAGTGACACTCCTTTCTTTCCCTTTGCTGGCTGCAGCAAGGCTTCCTGAGCCGGCGCCTGAAGAGCTCCATCAAGCGGACAAAGAGCCAGCCCAAGCTTGACCGGACCAGCAGCTTCCGTCAGATCCTGCCCCGGTTCCGCAGCGCTGACCATGACCGGTGAGAGAGAAAGGGACTCTCACCCCTTCCCCATCCCACCCAGGTGTAGTTCCCCCCACCCCCAGACCAGCTCAGCCCAGGCTGTCCTGGCCTGCTACCTCAGAGCCTGGGCAGGGACTGCAATGGGCCAGTGCAAAGTGTTAATGCACTTTGGCACTGGGCAAGGGGCCTCCTTGTAGACACCCTCCAGCGTGCCCCCTCCAGGAGCCAGCCACTTCTTAGCAACCTGTATACCCAGTTCCTGATGCATTCCACTGTAGAGCTAGCCACATCTCAATGCTGGGCAAGGGATCCCAGTGTAGTAATCAGCCCTGAGTGTGCCCTGCCCTAGAGCCAGCTGCCTCAGTGCTGTACCAGGTGTTGCTGTATAACCAGCTTCTAATGCACCCTTCCCCCCGCACACTGGAGCTCACCCCAAAGCGAGCTGCATCTCAGTGCTGAGTGAGGAGTCCCTGGCTAAACAGTCCCTGACAGTTTCCTGACTCCAGAAGCAGGTGTATTTAACTGCTGTGTGAGGAGTCTCTGTCTTTGCCTTCCCCCTTCACTCTCCTTTAGCTGTCTTGTGTCACTCCCAAAGTTGGGATTGTGGAGTAGGTAGTGTGTGCAGCAGTGATACTACACTGAAGGGGCACTGGGGTGCTGCTGATTAGGGTTAGTAGCCAGCAGTGTGGGGAAGGTAAGGGGGCAGAGGATGGCCCTGGGGCTAGTAACGAGGCAGGGGGAAGGGATGGGGAACTTGGGGGGTCAGGCCTTTGGGGACAGGGCTGGGCAGAGGGCAGTCTAGGCAGGCAGGGGTGGGGCCACAGTGGGCTTGGTACTGCCTGGGCAAGTGCGGGAGCTGTTTATAGCTGGATCTAGTGGGTGGAAGCCAGGAGCCGGATCTGGCTGCTTGGCAGGATCCCAGCCTTGGCCTGGCGCTTCTCTTGCTGCCTCCCTGCTGGTCTCACCCACCTGGCTCAATGCAGCTCTCTGGCCCTACTGCACCCAGGCTTCCCTGACCCGCCAGTGAGCACCCTGTGTGGAGGGGAGCCTGCCAGGAAACAGGCATGTGCACGAACATGTGCCATTGGGTATGCACCATGTGCGCACTCAGGATTGTTCTGTGTGGGCCCAGGTGTGCGGTGTTGTATGTGCTTACCTGTGCCTGACTGCGTGTCTGTGTGTGTACACATGCAGTTATGTGTGTGTGCTCTTTCGGTTCCTGAGGAGGTGTATACAGGTGTGCTTGTGTGGTGAGTGTACGCATAGCTATATGTGCTGTGGGGATGTGCTGGGTGCATGACAGTGTCTCTCTGTGTGTTCATGCCCTAGTATGCTCTGTGTACGTGTGCATGCACACCTGTGTGTGCTTTGGGGGTGTGTTGGTACCATGTTTGTACACGTCCGTGTCTGTCATGAGGTGCCATGCATATATTCATGCCTGTGTGTGCAGTGAGCGTTTGTGGGGTTGTGTGTGTGGTTTCTTTCCATGGGGGTAGGGGGTCAAGGGCTGTGCATGGTGCATGAATGCAGGATGCATGTGTAGGTGGGCATGCATAATAGTGTGCATGCATGTGTGTGTGTGTGCACATGCACAAGCATGCATAGAAATGTGTATTTGCATGTGGATTGTGTGCCCAGGTGCAGGTGTATGAGTGTGTTATAGGTGTGCATGGAAGGATGTGCCCTATGGGTGTATGCCTGCACATAGTTGGGGGGTGTTACTCTGTGATGACGGCCAGCTAGGCTGGTGCTCTGCGAAGTGTCTCAGTGACTTGGGCGTGTGGAGTTGCCATGTCTGGAGCAGTGGCGTAGCTCACCCAGGCCAGGCAGGGCTGGCCCCAGACTGCAGGCAGCACTGGGGAGGCTGGTGGGAGTGCTGTGCTGGAGGAAGGTGCCCTGAGTTTCCTGAGTGGCTTCTGCAGATAACTGGGACCAAACTCCTTGGTCCCGTCCCCCCTCCCTGCTCTGGGAATCTGCTGAACATTTCCCCCTCTCCCAAACGCTTCTTTCCAGCTCCCAACCTGCCTGCTGCGAGCTGCTGTTCAGGTGCTAATGGTGGCTGAGTCTTGGCTGGGTGCGGTGTCCCCTGTGTTACCAGGTCCTGACAGGCCCTACCCCAGAGATGGCTGCATTTTAGTGCTGGGCAAGGGGTCTCCTGGAAAAAGGGTCCCTGCTGTGCCCCATGCCAGAGGCAGCTGCAACTCCGCATTGGGTGTATGACCAACCCCTGACATGCTTCACCCTAGTGGTGGCTGCATCTCAATGCTGGGTCACTGTATAAACAGCCCTGATGCATCCCACCACAAAGCCTCCCTGCATTTCTTGTGTCCAGGGGGCTGTGCAGGCAGAGCAGGGCTGTGGGTGGTGGGTGGTATGAGGCACTCTGCAGCCACCTGGGGTCCATCCCACCTCTGCTGCTCCCAGCTCTGGGGGAGACTTGAGCACCCCTGCCTCAGCCTGGCCCCCACTGCCCTGCTCCTTCCTGCTCCCCACTTCTACCCTTGCGCGTCCCCGCCTGGCTGGGCAGTGGGGGGTAGGGGGGGG